TCAGATGTAGTGATAACAAAAAGTTCTTAGGAAGAATACCATTCTCATTTCTTGGATGGTTTTCCCTTTGCTTCTGAAAATTGGGCTGGCTTAGCTTTGAAATCAGGGAGGAGAGGCGTGGAATAAATAAATGCTGAGAAATTTGGCCAAGAGTGTGTGGGGGAGTGGAGCATGAGAGCAAAAGCAAGAAATTGAGGTTATAAAAAAAAAGAAGGAGCTGGCTGGGGTTTCTTCTCTCTCCTACTTTTCCCTGTTTTTCTTCCACTCTCTCTACCATCTGTCTGGTTTGGTTTGACATCGGTGCAGAGGAATGGGAGGGAATGTGACAGACACAAAAAAGTTAAAGCCGAAAGGCAAATATCCCACTCAGATTTGCCTTGGTTTTGTGGTTCTTGGTAGGGCATTTCTTAAGCTTTCTCTTATTGACCAAATTACCCTCCAACCCTTTAGACTTTAGAGTATATCTTTTATTTTGAATTAGTCAATAAGTTTTAGAGTATATCTCACGTCGAAAGTCTAAGAATAAAAATAATCGGTATATAAGCTCTTGAGTTGAACTAACTAATCGATTGGATTCAATCTTTCAATGTGTTTCAGCCCAAGTGTCTTATTGCCCAATCTAGTTATCACTGGCAGATCTATGCACGCATTTGATCGATGAAACACACCCGTTCACGATATTTGAGTGAACAGTGAAGATTCCTTAGGATCACTTCTTACTCCGTTTAATTAACATCATCACTAACTATATATTTTTTGGTCATTTTTTACTTTTCGACAATTTTTTTAGTTTTGTAAAATTTGACTTTCATGTGAGACGAATGAAGTATTTTATTTTGAGGTGGCTCACATAATTAAAATTTTATAAATGAAGATGGGTAAGAAAATTACCCCAAAAAAGTAGATTTAAATTTAAAACTACAGTATGTGAAATATCTGAAATGGAATGAAAATAAATTGGAAAAGTAAGAAAATGGAATTCTAGTGGAAGACGTGTCACGCTGACGTGAAAATTGATGAAGCTGGCGTCATAAACCTCCGGTTGAAAATGTGAATTTTGTTGGCCGGAAAGGGGAAAGGAAAAGGGACATAATAGGAAATAAGAAGTTGCTTGGGTTGAAATAGAAATAATGACCCCAAAAAAGAACAAAATTATGAGGTTGTTTTGCATGCGTGTCTTATTATATTCTGCCCCCCTCTTGCATCCCATTTATTTTTTCGCATCATCATCATCATCATGCATGCATGCCTAACATGCATGGCATATATCACATTACAAAACAATTTGCCCTTGCTTTGTTCTTTTTTTTTGTTTTGTTGAGAATATTTAAGAAAAATTTGCACTAAACAATACCAAAACATAAGTCATTTCTCAATGTAAGATTTAAACTTTTTTATTCACCAAATAGTATTTAATAATGTCTAGTGTGAGGAATAATTTTCAGTGATGTATAATACATTATATTCCTCAAATTACTCGAGTGTACCCTCTATTTTCTTATAATGACTCTTAGTTCCTACATTATCTGAAATATACTCTAAGATACCATCAATTTTCTAGTAAAAACTCTTAAGTCACACATTATCCAAAATACACTTCGCGGTCCTTGAAATTTGTAATATTATATTTTGAGGATACATTCCGTCCATTTAGGCGTTGGGATTGAAAGTTTTTTACTTTGATAAACTGAAGCATTTTATTTAAATTTAATTAGATAATTATTATGAAGATAAAATTTAGTATTTGTCAAAATTCCAAAACTTTTAATCCTAACGGTCAAATAGATGGAATGTTCCCAAAAAACATTATCAATAATTTTAAGGACTCTCGTAGTATATTTCCAAAAAAAATTGAGAGTACATGAGTGTATATTTTATATAATGTAAGACCTGAGAGTCATTATTAGAATTGAAATTCAATGCCCGAAGTCATTTTCAGAATAATTAGCTATGCATTTTCTATAGCAGTATTCATTTTTTTATATTTAATTTGTAATTTAATTTCATTTCTGTTGTGATGCTCCTAAAGTCTATAAAAATTCTTTAGACTTTTTTACATTTTTTACAATTATTCATCACAACAATTAGCTTACCCTGCTTTTTAAAAATTTGAATTTTATGGGATAAGAATGTAATAAATAAAACTATAAATATAATTTTATAAATTTAAAAGTAAACGTTTCAGAATGTTTGGAACTATTGAGAAGAATATCGTATCCATAAAATGTTTAATAGATGGTACTTATTTGCTCTCTCAATTTTAAATAAGACTCTTAGTTTACGATATCTAATTGAAGTCATTTTCAAAAAAATTAACACTATAAATTATTTGAGAATTTTATAAAATATATATTAAAAACATACACAAGAAATTTTACACATGACTATTTTCTAAATGATCGACAAAAATGTATTAAGAAAATAGATTTAGTTTATTTAACACTATGAATAGTAAATATGAGACTCGTTTGGAGATAAATGGAGTATTATTTAGTCATAATAATTTCATAATTATATTACCAAACTCAATTTTATGTAAATATAAAATTTATACTTTATTTTTGTGCAAATTATTGCGTATGTATTTATGAAACTAAATCTTATTTCCTAATACTCCTTTTGTCACAAAATATAAGACTCGTGTTAACAAAAAAATCTAAATTAATTTTCAGTTATATCTAAACAAAATAATTTCTGTCAAATATTATAAACCAAAGCATGAGTCTTATTTCAGAATGGATGGAACCTTTTATTCAATATTTTATTTACATGATTCTCTTCTAGGTAATCTTAAACAATCTGAAACATTTGTTTCCAAATTTATTAAATTATATTTATTTTTAATTTCTATTTATTATTTTTTCACCCTATAAATTTTAAAATTATTTTTTCATATTTAATGTTTTTTGAAATGGATTAATTTGGGAAAACACGCAATTAGAAAAAACTATTTTGAGAAATTAGTATAATTTTTAGTGTTGTTTAATTTTGACGGCATTTTGATGGCACTTTGACGTCCGATGGGGACTAAACTGAGCATTATTCATAATTAATGAGTATTATCTTGATAATTAGTTCATCTTATTTGGAACTCATTTTGGAAAGCACATCGTTATTGACTATCATTTGGGAATTGATGCCTCTTTAATTTTGTGAAAATGGTATAAGTTCATAGAGATGAAAAAAACATGGACTGATGAGATCTACTAGAAAATCAATATTTCTTGATTTAAGTCTAATGCAAATAATTACAAGCATTGTATGTAAAACGCCATAAAAAGTTTAAGTGCATGTTTGGGAATAGCGTTAGAGATTAACGTTAGTGTTTTAAATAAAATTTTAACGGTGCAGATTACTTTTAAAACGCTAACGCTAAACGTTGCTCGTAGATAGTCTTTTCAAAACGCCAACGCTGATCTCTAACTCTATTCCCAAAAACATCCTAAGTTAACAGCATGTTTTTTCACTCTATGAATTATTGAATCACATAGGTTTTAACATGGAATTGAATACCATTAGCTATACCATCCTCTAAAACACACTAGAGAAAATTTTTGCAAATTGTAATTCGTACCTGTTTAAGATTTTTAACTAGCCGGGAAAAAAAAACTCTAGCTCAAAAAGTAATAACTCTCATTATTAGTACAGTATTAACCAATTTCACCCTTGGTGTATAAGTAAAGTGTTTAATTAGAGGTCTAGGATGTGTTTTTAGCTATGATCTTTTCAACCAGTCTCTCACAATCTTTGTTTTTTGTTCCTTATTAAATTTTCTTTATGATTATTTACATACTAAATTTATTTTGAATTCACTTTCTTTAAGTATGCAAAGTTATAAAAATAAAATTTATATTTAAAAAAATACAAAAAAGAATCTGCTTCACGCATCACATAATAAATGTCAATTTATGGTTAACGAAATTGGACTGAAATTACATGTAACTCGATTATATTTATTTAGGTATTAGTGCGCAAATTTTTATTATATGGAAGACATGTTAGATAAAATTTTCAAATTAGTGACAAGTATATAGGCAAAGTAGATAAAATTTTACCGGCAAATGGGAACCGTGATATTTATTTTGAGATGAATGAAGTTAGCACAAGAGTTGTTTTAATTAACTAATTAATTGTAATAAATGATTAAAGTAAACAAGTATACAAGAACCGGAGTGTCTTGTAAAAATATTTTTTTTTTTAACATTGTGGTTAAATTTCACTCAAACTTAATTTATTTTTGTTGTCGTTGTTTCTCATATAATCATCGGATACTCATTTCACATCCGGAGTATTTATTTATTTTAGAATTTGATTGGAGTATGCACATTATTAGGGAATACTTTGTATATAGTACGTGTATACATGTTTCTCTGTACTTATAGACTGGTTAAAACTGCTTATAAGTTATTTTTAACTTATAAGTCAGCACATGATGTGTTTCTCTATCCTTTTAAGTTGCTTATAAGCTAGAAAAGATAAATATTTTTAAGCCGGTTTTTTCATTTCTCCGTTATGACCAGATTACATACAAACTACTCCCTCCGTCCACAAATAAACTTCCTGTTGCGCGTTACGATGTTTGATTGAAAATATTTTCAAATCGTTTTATATGAAAAATGGTGTAAAATTTAAAAATAAAAATTACATATTAAAAACTATATCAAAAGATCTACAAAATTAGAGGTGACATGACTATATTATTTTATCAAATGGGTGACAAAAATAGGCTAACAAAGTGAATAAAGTTTGACCATGTGAATAGTGAACGCGTGACAAGTTTATTTGTGGACGGAGAGAGTAATTTATAAGTACCTCTCACCTATTATAAACATCTCCAAATGACTTATATATCATTTAAGTCATTTTATCTATAAAAAAAGAATTTTTAACACATAAGTACCTTATAAGTTAAAAATATAAGTAATAAATCAATAAGCACCAGAGAACAACTCGCTATAAAAAGAGCAATTCCCATGACTTTACGTTCCTAGGAGCATACAATAAAACTCGAAATTCAGCGCTACCCAGTTTTAAAAAATTTAAGATTTCACATGTAAGACTCGAAAATATTACGCCTGCACGTGAAAAGCATATGAGAATATAAAAAACATTTTCTAAATCACAACTGTAAGCTTGAGCTTATGATTGAATCGATTTCTTGAGAGAAGGCAACCACGAAACTCCAAAAATCTCTTGAGGGCGACCACGAAACCCCACAAATTAAAGAATTAGAAAATTGGAGGGCTTGATGAACGGCACGTAGATCGAAGTTATGCTCATAAGCAGGGCGGATTCATGTTATAGTAGTTGGGGGCAATAACCCCCTACTATTTTTAAGTTTTTTTAATCATAATATATGCATTGTGATACTTAATTTTTTAATGTTTCTTAAAGTCATGTAATTTATGACCCCAACTAAAAATATTAGAGATCTCAACTGAAAGAATTAGAGACCTCAATTAATAGTGTTAAGTAAGAAAACAATGAGAGAAGTTGAATATTTAAATATTAAAAGAATATAATTTTAAAGTGAAATATTTAAAAGTCCAAAGATAAAATCTAAAGTAGTACGCTAAAAATATACGGAGTAATAATTAAACTAATTTATAATATTGGCATTAAGTAAAAAAATTGTTTTTTTTTTATTTTTTTACTATTTGAATAACTTTTTGAAGGTTAATTAATTCATTATTTTTTTAAAGTTTCACATTGTTTAAATTGTATAAAAAAAGTTTTGGGGACGTTGCCCCAAAACACCCGAAAAGTGACCCCTACTATCTAACATCCTGGCTCCACCACTGCTCATAATCTTCATATATATAGCTCAAGACATTAGAAAGAGAGAGAAATAATCCAAAGTCTAAATGAAATTTGTATTAATTTATAATTTGCCACCAGATTATAATTAAGAAAAACAATATATAGAACTAGGTGTATCATATATAGAATTTGTGATTGTTCGATGCTCAATCTTAAATAAAATTAGAATGAACTATTTAAAAATGTTTTGAATTGGATTTTGTCTATTTCCTCCTTTTAACCTAAAACTAAAATTTACAGTTTATATTAACACAAAAAAATGAAATAAAATACTTCATCCGTCCCAAAAAGAAGGCTACGTTTCATTTTTTGCGCATCTCATGAAACATTCTATATCGTTTCAAATTTCAAAACGATTTTTACCCACAATAAAGAGTAAATGTAATATATTAAATTTTAAACATTTTATATGTGAATAAAAATATTTTTTAGAATGCATAAAAAATGAAAGGTAACATTTTTTTTTTGAAATGGAGAGTACAAACGTGGAAATTCACATTTGAGACTAGAGTTTTAGGGGAGCCGAGGGACAAGAGAGGAGATGATTAGTACGTCGGTCCCACAAATTGCTCACTTTATATCTGTCATTTGTTGGTGAAAAGAAAAACATTCCCAATTTCATAAGTTGACATCTCCCGACAAATTTCGAGAATTACAAAGGAAGAGAATAAAAACATTTGTCCTTTACCGAACCAAGCATGGCATCATTCACGCAAAAAGATCATATTCTTAATTCCATTTTATTCCCCCCTTTTCCGATTTTTATTTGACATTTTTTAAATTAAATATCAATTACATAGCTATAATTTATGTGAAATTTGTAGTGAATAAGACTAAAACATAAGTCATTTTCTAATGCAAGACTTTAACTTTTTTATTCTCTATATAGAACTTAATAATGTCTCTAAGTGATGCTGGATATTTAGTTGAATAATGACTAATAGATAATGAACAATGGTCATACATTGGAAAATAAAAATGCATGGTTCTATATTGAGAAAGTCATTATGTTTTAGTCTTATTTAGATAAATTACCCATAATTTATTTAGAAAGCTAAGGAAAGAAAAAAATGAATCACATAATCCTCTCATTAAGAAATATATTGAGAGTTGAAATTCTATTGGTACACGAAATTGACGGAATTGGAATTTAATTAGAAGTTAAAATTCTATAGAATTAATCTAGATGAAATTGATTTCTCCCATTTCAATTCATTTTTGTCACTATCAATTTCAGTCCACATATTTTTGTGCTACCAAACAACAGAATTAGAATGGTTGTCGATCTCCAATTTCAATTTCATAGTTTGAATTTTGTGTACCAAATGGAGTCTGATACAAAAAATCGGAAGGAATTTGAAAAATATGAGTCGGGATGCGGAAACTGATTTGGCTTCAAACCGATTACTACTAGACACAATGACAAAAGGTTCGAAGTGCAGACGCAAAAACAAGTGTGTTAATTAGTTGCCAAAATACATCACACTCAGACCCAACATTTCAGATGTCACCACATCAAAGGCCAACAATCAACACACTTTCACACAAGTCCATCGGACGCGACTAGAGATGACGTTTTAGTCGACCATCAAAGTTAGTGATACACCGTTCTCCAAAGAATGAGTGAGATACAAATGAACATCACCTTGGTTCAAATGCCATTGGTACTTATTGTCATATCATGACCTGAGATGCTTGTGGTACTTTGTTTAAAAAATTGATAGTTTCTATCATATTTTCTTAATCTTTCTGCACCTCCCCCTCCTTCGCCGATTTGTTTGAAAATATGCTACATTAAAGTTAATAGTATTGGAAAAATGAGAATGCTCCATAGATATGAGTAAAAAGCTATTAAAAATACTAAAATTGGAGTCATAAAACTTTTAAGACCAGAACAATAGTTCTTAGTTCCATTGCTACACTGCCATACTCGCTACATTGTCACACTATAATTATATTGACACACTATCACGTACCGCCACACTGCCATCCATCGCTATCGACCACCAGAGTGCCAATGTGGATCACCGACGATATGGGATTGACTGATCACACTGACATATTACATTGTCATCAATTTTTTCATTACACTACCAACGCGTACTCTTATAGCACACTGTCATTATACTCATATTTTGGTTTTAAGAGATTTAAAACTCATATTTTGATATTCTTATACTTCTCTCACTCTTATCCACAGAGATTTATTTAAAAAAAATTAGGCCACCCTAACTTCTTTATTGATATTACTCTGTATATATTAATTTTCATATATTCCATCTGTCCAGAAATAATATCCACGTTCGCTATTCACAAGGCCAAACTTATTTACTTTGTTGGTCTATTTTCAATTCTCATTGGATAAAATAATATAGTGATGTCACTTCTAATTTTGTAGATTTTTTTATTTAGTTTTAAAATACTCCGTGTGTACTTTTTATTTTTTTAAAATTTTACATAATTTTTATACAAATGATTTAAAAATGATTTCGATCAAATATCGTAACGTACAATGAAAACATTATCGTTAAACGGATGGATTAATAGATATGATCTCTTCTTACACATAGATTAGGGGAAGATTCTCCGCCAATGACTTAGATCGGATCACGAGGTTGATAAAGAAATAGTTAGACAAGAATCAGATTATCCGATAGTATTGCTAAAAAAAATCTGCAAAAATCAAACACACAAAAAATAGGTGTATGAAAATATTTGATAGCACAAAATTCAAGACTGCGAAAATTAATTTACTCCTTATTTAAATTTTGAATACATTGAATAATTTCACATGAGACTCAAGACTACATGCTTGACTTCGATCTTTAGATATAAGACTACAAACTCATTAAAATAAATAGGACTTAATTAGACAACTAGTCCTAAATTATGGAGCATATTTTTCCATGGTTTAAGGATAATATATAATTAAGATTACTGTAGAATTTTCACGAGAATTGATTTGCTTTGATTATTCCCAAGAATAAAATATACTTCAATTCTTCCGTCAATCAAAGTCATTATTTTGATATTTTATAAAATTTAATGAAGAAATGTTTTTGTATTGATTTTTCTAAATCACCCTTGATATGTTCACTACAAGAATGTAAGTTCAAAATAGACTGAAAAAAGATACAGATTTCCGTCTCACTTTCTAAATCTTTTTCGTTTCACGTTCGAGACAATTATGAGACTAAATTACCGTCTCTTTTCTGTCTGCATTCTTGTAGTGGTTGCATAAAAATATAATATGATGAATAAATTATTAGTGAATACTCCGTATGTATAATTAATGCTATAGGTAAGATAAGAATGCTATGAGTATGGACAAAAATAATTTTTTAATAGAAAAAAAGGATTGTGGCACAAATAAAAAAGAAGAAAGAGTTTGTGTAACAGAGGGAGTATATAGATGTTACGAGGTAACCTAACTAGAACCCTTTAATAATAAGGAGTACATAATCTTGGCTCAAACATAAATAATTTGCCAAGATCATGTTCTCTTCATCCAATCTCTTCAACTTAATCTTTTTAGTTGTTTTTATTAGAATCGGGTCGTATCAAAAAATAACTTTAAATATAAATACAATCAGATTAGATCAGAATTTAATCACTTAAATCATATCATAACCAATCAGATACACTTAGAAAAACAAACCCTAAATTACTATTAGCGTTAGGGTGAGATGAGGAATTGGGGTGGTAACAAAGGTATTGTTTGGGAACAGCGTTTTTGATTAGCGTTAGCGTTTTGGATAAAATTTTAATGGTGTAGAGTAATTCTGAAAACACTAACGCTAAAAGCTATCTTTTCAAAACGATAATGCTAATCTCTAACGCTGATGTCAAACGGAACCAAAGAGAAGTAAAAATCATCTAATTTTCGTACAAAACATACAGTGTTGATGTCAAAGTAACCAAACCGATTCTACCGGCGAAAAATGCACGCTTTATGGAGAAAGTTAAGGATCCAAAATGGAATTAGTATGATGACCAGGTCAGACCAATTAATTAATTACCACCTAACTAATGTTTTAAAACAAGATTATATTATTATTATTACGTAATGACTTCAATTCATTATATTCCCTTTTTAGTATTTTTTTATATCGGCTATAATTACGTAATCACTTCTCATTACTCCAAATCTACCACGTTGATTATGACCGAAGATTTCTCAATTTTTCGATAATGTTTCGTATCAATGTCTTATATAATTTCTTTGGAAATTAGGTTTTGTTTTTTAGTTCAAAAAATGAAGTTAAATGTTGAAAAAAAAAGAAGTTGAAGAAAAAGAAAGAATTATAAGTAATTGAGGAAAGCTATAAAAATGAAAAAATCAAAAAAAAAAGTTTTGAAAAAAATGTTAAAAATTAAGACCTGATCATTTTTCATGATACAAATTAACATTGCCTTTTGCATATAAATTTTTTACGTTGTAGCTTAATTTTGAAAACGGCTAATCTTAAAAGAATTTTTAAAAATGCTAGAATATAATGTGAAATTAATGTAGAAAGGAGAATCTCATTCGAACTTATTATGGTTTATTTCATACTCCGTTGTATTTTTTTTAAATGAAATTGGTAAATTTGAAACAGAATTTCATCGGGGAGAGATCAATTTGGTCGTCGACAAGAAAACATGGATCTGGTTGTTCCTTAAATTACTTATTTGGCAGAAATGTTGATGGAATCTGTTCGAATAATTTTAGGTGAATTACTTACTCCTATGTGACATTGTTTAGGAACAACGTTTTCGAATAGCGTTAGCGCTTATGATAAAATTTTAAGGGTGTAGATTAATTTTGAAAACGGTAACACTAAAGGCTACCGTAGAATCGTATTTTCAAAACGCAAATCTCTGATGCTGATTCCAAACGGGGCATATGAGTATATGACCCATTTTTGGTAGTGAGAAAATTTTAATATCACGGCTCACATAAATATTTCTAGATTACAAAACTCATACATTATCATGAGACCGGTTCTCATGACATTGGGAATAATGTCATGGGATGATCTGGGAGTGCTATGATGTTTCGTTCGTAAAAAGGACGGTTCATATCCCCTCTATAAGGTCGGGGTGGGGGGTTTACCAGAGGGTTAGAAGGATAAGAACCGTCAATAATTTTACGAACAAGGCACAAGGACACTCCCGGGTCATTTCAATGTTCCCATGTCACAAGAACCGAGAGGTATTATCATATCTAAAAAAAGCTCACCAAACAATCATTTATAAACAGTTTTCAAAGGTGAAGGGAATATAGATTTCATCAAGAGTATAGTCCATATATGTTCTATTATGATGTGCTCTTATGTCCTAAAATAATATTTTCATTTGATTTTTCATAGCATGTAATGTAACAGTTTGATCATTAATAACTATATTTATACATTAACTCTTTTTATTAAAAAAATGATATTTCAAAATTGTATTACAACGCAAATCAAATTATAATAAATTTACAATGAAAGCAATTCCTCAAACATTACTTTGCAATGTCATGCATGATCCGAGGACCACACGACACCTTTTTTCGTAAAATTGATGTTTCTTACTACACTCCTTACCCCTCCTAACTTCTCCGATAAACCCCCTCTCTTCCTATTTAATTGCATCTTCCAAATTTATATGACTTGAAATCAAAATCTTGTATCCAAAGTCAAATAAACACGGTGGTGTAATTGAAGAGGGTGATGATAAGTTTGGATTGGGGAGTGTGAGATTTAGGTGATAAGAACGATCAACTTTATAAATGAGACACCGCATAGATCTTCGGGTCATCCCATTACATTGACAATATTGTTAAATATATTTTCTGAAATTTTATGGTAAAAAAATTTGCATTTTGATTCCCAAATTTAAATGGAAATGCTACAAAGTATGGAGTATATCATTTTGAGACAAAAAGTACCGTAGTACTGATATTTTGTAGCATAGAGTATTACGGAGTACTTATTTATCTTTCACAAAATAAAATAGGGATCATTTAAGCAGCCCGGTTGCAAAAGGCCCAAATTTGCATAGGATCGGCCCGGCAATCTTATTAGTTGTTGCAGTTCAATAATGGTTTTATTACTAAGGGCATAAATTCTCAATATGATTTTATTTGGGATCAATTTTTATTAATGCTATATTTAGTGTATGATTTTTCATATTTAATCTCTAATTTTAAAATATTATATGCGTAGTTCTCAATTTCTTAAAGATATTTCATAATCAATTATTTGGAGACTTTTGAAACAAAATATTTAGACATATTTAGAGAGTGTTTGACACTGTATTGCTTTTCAGAATTTAGTCTTTGTTTTAAGTGGTAATCATTTTTTTTATTTGACATACCTACTTATGTTTTTCTTTACTATCATTTTGTACATAAAACATCATTTCGGAGAAGCAAATATATGGTGTTTGAAAATCACTTTACTCAAAAGTTAATCACTCTCAAACACGCTCTCAGTCTAAAAAAACTAATTATGGAATAACTTTTAAAATTGAATTCCACGAATTTAATATTTTAGATTTAAAGACTAAATATGGAAAAATTTATCTGTGTTTGGTCATTTATTGAATTCACTCAACTTTTTTTTGGTTAAACCTCACAACACTTTGAACTCAAATTGTTGAAAATGTATATTTATTTATAATACAAATGTGGTTAATTTTAAAATATATGTATGATACAGCAAGTATTTATATTCCGTAACATTTAATTTATTTAAAGTTTTTATTTAATTTATGATCAAATCATCCAATAAAAAAAATCAAATTGGAGTATATACTCCCTAGTCCGTACAGCTTACGCCGAAATGAAAGAGGCGATACGGCGTATGACGCGTTTGGCATTCTCAGAATCAGGATTTAAAACCTGAAAGCAATGTCCTTCACCCTCAACATCCAAAATGTCGATTTTGCCCTTCCACCCACTCCTCTTCACCGCGCCCACATACCGGACTCCGATCTCCCTCAGATCGTCTTTCTCTGCAACGCAAACCAGAATCTTCGGGCACCGATCTAATCCAGACAGGCTCGGAGCATTCTCCGCCGTCGGATTCATCATCGGGCTGTCGATTCCTCCCTCCGCCGTTGGACACACGAGATCCCAGGTTTTACTCAGCCGGCCCTGCTTCCCGCCCTTCTCCGTCGATCCCCAGAAGTACGGGAAGCAGAGTATCCCTCCCGCGAGCGCAGGGATGCCCTGCTTTCCGGCTCTCATGGCGACGTTGTGCACGATGTTTCCGCCGGCGCTATCGCCGGCGAGGAAGATTCTCCCGATGTCGCCGTGGTCAACTAACCACGACTCCAGTGCGGGTCCTGAAATTTAAACGCAGGCCACAAAATTTTTAATTTTACTAGTCATTGTTCAACTAAATATCTACTTTCACTAGACATTGTTCAAAAATAGATCTTTACCATCATTGGACATTGTTCTTGTCACTCGACATTATTCAAATACTATTTAAGAAATAAAAAAATTTAAGTACTACATTGAGAAATGACATACTCCCTCCATCCCAAAAAGAATTTCTTACTTTGATTAACGTGTAAAACCTCGTGAATTTTAAAATAATTTTATTTGCAAATTGGTAAGAAGATAAGACATAAAAAATTATATTTAAAAATTACATCGGAAATTCTAAAAGGTAAGATGTGACAAAAATATTTTATTTTGTGAAATGATCAATGAAAACACGCAAATAAATTAGAGGTATCGAGAGGCCGTAATACTAAACAGGAAAGATGTTTTGGGATGGAAGAAATAAATTTTAGCACTCAAAGAGTACTATTTATTGCAAATTTCATTTCATTGTAAAATGTACTCCGTAGTTTGAAAATGCCAAGATTTTGTACGTTACTGTGGAGAAATAAATTACTCCCTATTACAGGATTGCATTAAAAGTCTTGAAAAGTGGAAATAAAAACATACGGGTAAATATAAGGAGGAAGTAGTCAAAAAATTAACGTAAATAATATTAAAATATAATGATTTTCCCTAAATATCATTTTTTTCCCAATGAATCAATTATGGTCTTCATTCAAATAAATGACATTATTAAATGCTATTTATGAAAAAAACAATTTAAATAATGTAAAGAAATGATTTAAGAGTTTTAGTACTCCCTTCGTCCTAAAACTATCTTCCCATAGCACTATTCTATTTTCACGGGAATTTATATTTATTTGTGTTGGCCTATATGATAAAATAAAATATTCTTGTCACCACTTGTTTTGTTTTGATGTAGTTTTTAAATATGTATGTTTTATTTTTTATTTCTATATCAATATTTAAATAAAATAAATTAAAAAAACTTGGAATTTTTCTTCGTTTTGCGCAACAAGAATAAAGTTTTAGGACTGAGGAAGTACTAGTTAGTGCAAATATTTCTAAAGTAAATTACTAAAAAAATGGGGAGCACTTTAATTTGACTATAACTCACTTTGTACCCTCTGAGAGACGGGCATGCGTGAGTCTAGAAATCCGTTTTGATCGCCGGCGGCGTGTGAGGCGACCCACCGGAGGGCCTCGAAGGCGTCGTCGTAGGCTGCCGGGAGAGGGTGCTCCGGGGCGAGACGATACTCGACGGAGACGGCGACGACGCCGGATTCCGACACGAGGGCGTTCAGGTAGCGGTGGTTGCGGAAGGAGAAGGCGGACTCGAGGCAGAACCCCCCCAAAGTGGAAGTACACCAAGATGGGGAGCTTCCCGGGGGCCGGCGGTTTCGGCAGGTAGATTCGGGCGGAGACGTCGGCGGAGATCGTGACGTCCTTGGAGGAGACGCCTCCGGTCTCGGAGTCGTCTTCGGACGCCGACGGGACGACGCGCGGGGATGCGAAGAGGCGCTCCACGCGCCCGCCTTTGTAAACTCTGATGAAGGGAGAAAGGTCAACGGCGATTTCTTCGCCAATCATGGCCCTTTACAAAATATGTCTGTCTATCTCCAAAGTGCAAGGATGTCGTCGAAAGATTTTGTGGTTGAGGTGACAAACAATTTATTTTCAAAAAAGGAAAATGGTAGGGTACACCAAAGTGTACCCCAAATATCCCCCATGCCCTCCATCACTACACAAAAAAGGCAAAAAAATTCAAAACAAAAGTAAAAACTAAAAATAGAATAAAATGAATGGTAGAGAGGGAGGGTGGTGTACATTTAGGGTACACCTTTGGTGTATCGCTAGCATATCCCTTCAAAAAAAGGTGCAGGCTCAGTCGGTCGGACAGGATTAGGATTGTAAGGGATAAATCATACTTATATTTTATAATCTTTTACTCCCTCCGTTTGGAAAAACACTTCCCATTTGGATTTGGGGCAAAAATAAGGAAGTGTTAAATTATACGGAGTAGTTGATTTCTAATTTTGTCCCTGATGTAATGGGTAAAGTAAGATGTGATGGATAGATTATTAGAGAAAAAGTATGATGTGATAGGTAGGTATGAAAAAGTAAGGGTAAAATTGGTTTTTTAATAGAAAAGGGAAGTGTTTTGTTGGAAGTGGAAAAATGAAAGATAGAGTGTTTTTGAGAACGGAAGGAGTATATATAAATTTGAGAGTTCAGTCTCTAAGAGATGACATGTGTCAATATTTAGAGAATGATATGTGTCAATCTTTAAAGGTTTACTTTCTTTTTTTATATTTCATTTTCTTCTCTTTCTCTCTTCTACTATTTCATCTTTTTTTATTGTGTTTTTTAAAAATGATAATTAATTATTTTGAAATCATAAATCCAAATTTAGAATTAATAGAATTTGTAAATTTAATAAAATTTTATTTTCTTACAACTATACGTAAAAAGTTTCTAATGCCTGAATCGGATTCAATAAACTATAAAATTTGCGAACAAACTTTTAGGCATATGATCTTTTTTAAAATAAAATTAATTCATACAATTCATAAGATGATCTAAAAAAATTATTTATCAAATAATCAACAAAAATATATTTGAAAAAATTAGTCAACATAATTAAAAGAAAAAGAATTAAAACAAAATTAGATTTTCCATCATTTATTTAAACAACCACTGAATAGAATAAGAGCATGTTCTTTAGGACTGGAAAAAAAGAGTTGAATATTGGAAGAAACTTGAAAAAACTGGAAGAAAGTGAAAGAAACTGGAAAAAACTGGAAGAACTGAAAGGAACTGGAAAAACTAGAAGAAACTAGATAGAACTGGAAGAAAATAGAAGGAACTGGAAAAACTTCAAAAATTGGAAAACCTAGAAAAACTTTTAAAAAGTTATTTTAATGTAATTTTATATTGTTCTAATTCTAATTCTCGTTGTTATAAATAATAATAATAATAATTATTATTATTATTATTATTATTATTATTATTATTATTATTATCATCATCATCATCATCGTGATCACGTTATCTTAATGAATGACTTAAAGATTAAAAAAAGTATTGTTATTTTTCATATACACAAAAAAACTACTTTTGCAAAAAAATAATTATAATATAAAGTTAGAATAAATATCAAAATGTTAAATTTTTAAAAGTTATTGTGGTTACGTTGCACCTCAATTTATATTTCCGTATTTATTATAAATAATTTATTGTAATTATACTTTATATTATAAGATTTTGTTTATATATCAGACATGCAAATAATGTAATCAAACTTATTTTTTTCCTTCAAGATTGACATTTTATTTTCATTGTAAATCCTATTTTTGGAATAAAAACATATAACTTTTCTTCACATTTTTTTATGTTTTACTCATATTTTATTTTTTTTTCTCTAAACTATTTTGACTTTCAATTTTTTTTATTAAAATTAGAGAAATAAGAAAATTTTGAGTAATAAAGGAAAAGGTGATGAGGGGTCTTATATAAAGTTATATTTAGGGCTGGACACGGTATCGATGCGGTACCGTTACCGGCAACGGTACCGCCGGTACCATCTACCGTCACCGTCAAAGGTTCGTAACACCGGTACCGGGAACCGGTACCGGAACCGGCCCAACCGGTACCGGTACCGGTTCCAAAATTTTCGTCCCGGAACCGCCGGTACCGGTACGGTACCGGTACCGTGAGTTTTTTTTCCATGCAAGTTTGCAACATGTCCGGCGGCGGTCCAGCTTCTCAGCTCCAGAATAATTCTCTTCCAAATTGCACTCTCTTTCTCAAAAATCAAAATGTCTGGCGGTCCTGCAAGCCTGCAACTTATAAATATTACTCTCTTTCTCAAAATAAATCTCTTCCAAATTTTTTAACAATTGCATTTAATATTTTTCATAGATCTCAATTATTTTTATGGACACTAGATTTTTCAAAAAAATAATCAAAAAAATAAATCAATTTTACATTTAAAAAATTTAATAAAAAAGCAAAAAAAAATTAATTTGGGGGTGGCCGGTCCGGTACCGGAACCGCCGGTCCGGGTACCGGTACCGGCCGGTCCGGTCACGGTACCGGTACCAAGGGGTGGCGGTACCGGAACCGGCGGTTCCGGAACCGTCCCGGAACCGGAACCGTCCCGAAACCGTACCGTGTCCACCCCTAGTTATATTAATAAAACATTCTATGTAACTATTTTATCCATAATTTTTTTAATATAGTTTAAATTATTGACATTTTCCTTTTTATCTTGTAGATTAATATACAAAAAATTGTCTTGTTCATATTAAAAAGTTGAAGAAAAAATAATGAGTGTAAATCGTAAAAATAGTGAGATGAAAAAATAATTTATAAACTATAGTTATGAACATAACAATAATAATAATAATAATAATAATAATAATAATAATAATAATAATAATAATAATAATAATAATAATAATAATAATAATCACATTAAAAATATATCGTTTTTAGAAAAATTAGTTGGATAGTAGAAAAAGTTTGAAGAAAATGAGAATAGTTGGAAGAAACTGGAAAGAACTAGAAGAAAATGAAAGAAACTGGAAGTTAAGAGTTTAAGCCCTAAAGAACATGATCTAAAAAAAGAATAATTTTTATATAAAAGAAAAATAAAGTACATCAAATATACTCCCTTTGTCCCAAAAAGTCTTTCCTATTTCATATTTTGCGCATCACATAAAATACTTTTATTCCGCCTTGAATGCCAAAAGCAACTTTCAAATTAACTTATATTCACAATAAAGAAAACATGTTGAAAATTTTAGGCATTTTAGATGTAGGTAGAAGTGTTTTATGGGATGCGCAAAAAATGAAATTGAAAAGACTTTTTAGGACGGATAGAGTTTATCTTAAGAGATGGCAAAATCTTTTATTTTTATTAAATAGTTAATAAAAATGTATAAATATATAAAAATTTTCGTGATTTTTAAATGGTGAAAGATGTAATTTATTATGGAAGGAAGATCGTATTATCTACGGAGTACATAAAAAAAATAATTGTGTCACTCCTTATTTTCTTTTTTTGAATCACCACTTTGTTTTTCTTTTTTTTCAACCGGACACAGTTGAGAGGGACTAGGGTTTCCTCGTCTAACTTCCGAATCAGAGGAGGGGCGAAAAGGCGGGCTTCCGCTTCCATCCCGACACGGAGAGAAGACCCGACGAAGTGTCAAAGGCGGTGGTGGGTTCCTGGTTCGGTAGCTTCTGTCCGTAACTTTCTTTGAATATCGTAGTCGTTCGTTTCTATTAGGGTTAATTTCTGCATTTTCGAATATGATTTTTATCAAATTTTCTGTCGTTATTGAGCCATTTCAATTGGTTGACAGTTGCTAGAGCACGATGGATATTGATCAATTCGAGGGATTGAAGGTTCAAGCTCTACAATGGGTGCACCGAGCTGCGGAGTCGGTGCATCAGATTCCTTTTTTTGAACTGTATTTTGCAATTGGGATCTTAGCCATCACTACATTTTGGTTCCTTCTCTTGAGTAAAGTTCTTTTCTCTGCAATCCTCTTTAATGAAATACATTACCAGTTAAATTTGGTTAGGTAGTGTTTGGGAACTGACATTTCATTTCAATTCCAAAATTTGAATTCTTTAATTTCAAATAACAAGGAGAGACATATGGATCTGCAATGGAGCTTTGTAATGAATTAGAGGAATTTGCCTCAAATCAAAATCCAAATTTTTAAGATTCCCAAACATGGAAATTGAGCCAAATCCGGATTTGAAATCTTAATTCTAGCTCCCAAACATGGTGTTAGAAAATTTGGGTGTATCAATTGCACGAGTTATCAAATTTTAAAATTGGCTGACAGACTGAAACTTGAGGGATAATTCCGTGGATCGAGTTGAGCTCTATATTAGAATGTCCGTTAGTAGTTGGGCAGACCATTCACCTTTGGATCATTGGTAGTTTGGTAGACATTTGGACTTTAGTTTCTAGTTTCTGTTGCTGTGTTTTTTTTGCTTTGGATTGTGGCTTGTGCATGTCTGTTTTTTGTGCATCAAGTCTCGTTCTTAGTGTCCTTATCTCTTATTTTGTTCGTGCTACCGTATCTACTTCGTTTGTGCTTCTGTGTTTGAGCTGAGGACACAGTTTTTCTGATCTATTTAATTTTTGTTTCACACACCAGTGCCGCCGCAATCATTTTGTTTCATTTATTCCTGTTCTGCCTGTACATACAAATATCTTACAGATTTACAAATTATGTTTTGTATTCTTTAAGTTGACCAACGGTTTGTTGTTTCTTTATATTTTCCTCTCCTACAGCTCGGTTGAGGAAGCGTGCAGCATGTAATACCATTGTACTCACTGGGCTTTGTGGAAGTGGAAAAACTTTTATTTTTCACCAGGTAAGGGCATCTAGATTTAAAAAAGGAGATCTTTTACATGGTAGAAATTATTTGGATGCAATCCCTTCTTTTTAAATATACATTGTTGCCTATACCAGCTTAGAGATGGAACACCACCGCAACAGGGTACTGTCACCTCAATGGAACCCAATGAAGACACATTTATTCTACACTCTGAGAAAACCAAGGTAACAATCAGTGTAGTTATGTTTGTCCAATCACCTAAGTCTTTATCTCTTTATCCCATTTTATATTTTTGACTTACTGACCTTCTCTATATTTCGTCTCCAAATCAACATCCCGCATTCTTTCCTCCTAAGATTTTATCAGTCTGTAAGAAGGAATCATTGTGGTTGATATTTTCTTGCCTTTTCCAAATTAAGTTCAACCATAATATTTACTTCTTGATTATTGTCTCAAAAGAAAACAATAAGCTAACCTGGGGGTGGAGGGAGCATTATACACTCCGTATTGTATTTGTAAATGTAATTACTTAAACTGCTCCAGTATTCTTTATGCAGTATATTTTAAATTTGATTTTAATTCTTTCTACCCGCTTTTATTCTTCTGTAGGGAGGAAAAATAAGACCTGTTCGTGTTGTTGACGTGCCTGGTCATCCTCGTCTTCGGCCAACACTGGACGGGTTTTTACCTTTGACAGCTGGGGTTGTCTTTGTTGTGGATTCGATAGACTTTTTACCCAACTTGCGTGCTGCCTCAGAGTACTCACAATCCTTTCACTGCTAACTTCATGTTTGGCACAACTAGTTTGGAGTTCATCTTATTTCATTTTTCTCTTGGTGAAGGTATCTCTATGATATCTTGACACACGCACATGTGGTTAAGAGGAAGATTCCAGTACTCCTGCTCTGCAACAAGGTGGACAAGGAAATTACTGCACACACCAAAGAGTTCATAACAAAGCAGCTGGAAAAGGAAATGTGAGAATTTTTGTAGCGTAACTCCTTTGTTAGAGCCGTCGCCTAGGTGAACTAGGCATGGGCCTAGGGCCCCCAATTTTTTAAAACTTGTACGGAGTATTAAACATATCATATGTTGATAATGAATTAAGCTTGAGTATCCCAAGTGTGACCTCAACTCTCGCCCCACCTTTCTCATATACACAGAACAATGTCGATGTGCTTGTGAATAGTCGAGTAGCTGGGGTGAGAGCTGGGGTCACACTTCGGGCACCCCTACCATGATCCATTGATAAATGTAAGCTAAGGTCCAAAGTTCAAAAGTGCAACTCTCTTTCAATTGCTTTCAATTACAAATATCATTTTGGCAAAAAATTATTATCAATTACTGTATTACATATTTCACCCCATTAGAAAGTAGAAGCATCCCTAACTAAATTGCCACCTAGTTCTTAGGAAAGGCTAGAAACACTACTGGCCTTTGTGTGTATTTTACCTAATGCAAGATGTTTTTTGTTGAAAATTGTCAGAGACAAGCTTCGGAGTTCAAGAACAGCAGTATCGGATGCTGATATATCTAGCGAGTTTACACTTGGGACACCCGGAGAACAATTCAAGTTTTCGCAATGCCAGAACCAAGTAGTTGTCAAAGAAGGTTCAGGTTTGACAGGTAAGTTAGAAGAGCTAGAGGAGTTTATTCGGCAGAATGTGTGAAAAGATGTTTGGGGTTCAAGTTTGTGCAAAGCCAGTTTCTTATATGAAAAGATGGACAGAAACAGTGTCGTGTCGGTTGGGGGTTCAAAATACTCATTTTTTCCTCACATTTCACAAACTTAAATGATATTAGTAGAAATTAATCTGTAGTTAGTTTGAAGAGATTTGTGATTTTTTAAAAATGCTACGAGTATGTGATTTTTCGAAAAAAGCCCAACGAGAGAGGTTCTCGAATCATGCATGAATATGGAAAAAACTTGGAGAACTTGTCGGTGTGAACTTGTTTACAGACATAGTGTTTGTGAACTTTCTACAGACATACAATGGCGGTGTAGTAATACTACGTAACACATTGACATGAGATGTCTTAGTAGGTATTAGCGGTTAATTAGTAATCCGGTGACAATGACCGGATGTTCAAGAAAGATGGTTAGAGTGGTGGTCGTGTGGTGATCGTGTAGGTGGTTAGAGATTTTTGTCAATTTTCACAGACATACAATGTGTCTAAAGACATGAAACATCTGTGTAGACCAATAAAGATCTTGCATTTATATTGTGTCACACATGGGGTGAAAGTTAGGGTATTTTTAGCAAAGCCCTTCCCCTACCGTTGCCCTTATGTTAATGTACTAGTCATTCCCTAATTATGTTGAATGCACTAGTTGGTCCATAGGGACCCCAAGAATGTGTTCCTATTTTTTACTCTCTCCGTTCCAAATTATAATGCCTGTTTACTATTCACAGGGTCAAACTTTATTTACTTTTTTTCTCTATTTTCGTTAGCAATTTGATAAAATAAAATATTATTGTCATTACTAGTTTTGTAGATCTTTTGATGTAATTTTTTAATATGTAATTTTTATTTTTTAATTCTATACCATTTGTCATATAAAATGGTTTGAAAATAATTTCAGTCAAACATTGTAAACCGAAACAAGCGTTATAAATTGGGACGGAGGTAGTACAATATAAAGTAATGTGTGGTGGCGGGTTTGATGGGAGTTTGACGGGGGTTGATGGGAGTACAATGATATATGATGTGGAGTGATAAAAATATGTGTTGTCGTGCGTGTGAAGGAAAGTTATTAGTTGTGAAGGTGTGAATTATTATGATTGGTTTAATTTGGAATGTATTAAAATTTGATTGGTTTAAGAAGAAAAAATTAAAAAAAAAAAGAGGGGCAACGACCGTGACCATGGTCAAGCCTGCTTCGTCATGCTACCGTCCCAAAAAATTGCTGCCAACTAAGCAATTTAGCTAAATACTCTCTTCCTCCAAAAAAAAAGGTTTGAAAATGCTGCAGTAAAGAAAGAAAGATTGTGAGATACTAAGTTTTCCGGAAAAAGGATCTTTTTTTGGGACGTTTCAAAAAAGAAATGATGAGTCTATTTTGGGACGTATGGAGTATGTGATAATTTGTCAAAAAACCACCAAAATTAGGACAAAAACATAATCCTTATCTCCAAAATAAACGGGACATAGTTTTAATCTTCATAAGAAGACTATTGTACTGCGATAATGTGGTGTTATTTATTAGTCCTTTGCGTTACACAGTGTTTTGGTACTACCTCCATTTCAGATTCACATTTGAACAACGCGCAAAATATCATCTCTATTAAAATTATTTTATTTATAATTTGGTAGAGAAATAAAAGATATAAATTACACCATTCAAAAGTACATCAAAAGTTCTACAAAAAAGAGGTTATAAAGAATATTTTGTTATCAAATGGTCCCCGATAAAAAGTACATAAACAAAAATTATCGAGAGGGCGAAATAGTAATTGTGACATTTTTTCTGAAACGGAGAAAGTATTATATGTTGGCATTGTTGGTCTTCTTTTGGAAAAAAACATAAGGATTTTATTTTATTTTTTCCTTATATTTTACTTCTCTAGTCTTTTCCAATATTTTAGATGTTGACTAAACAATTACGGAGTTTAGTTTTTTTCTTTATAACTAACTTCCTCCCAACACTTTTAAAATGCCGACTCCTCATATTTATTAATCGTCAAATCGTCATTTAAATAGTTTGGAGCACCACTTATTTATCTAAGTTGTTGAGTTGGCAAAGATAGAATAATGATATAAAATGTTCAATTTTCTTAGGTGTCATTTATTCATATTTTATGTGATAGGACAACAAAATAATGCAATGTGTGAGGTTGAAACATCTTTGTTTTTTTTCTTTGTATAATTAACCGTCCTTATAAACCTTTGTATTAATTATTGTAAATATCATAACTCATAAGCTAGCTAGCTAAGAAGTTGGAAAAACTGGAAAGGAATTAAAAAAACTAAAGGAGTTTGAGAATGTTAGATAAATAAAGTATAAAAAATTACTCAATTAAAAGATCACTGAAATAAATGTATAAGAACACAAATTTTATATAAAAAAGAATCATCTTTACTATGTTTGAGGTGCTATGTTTTAAATTTGGATATATGATATTGTTTTTTGAACACCGAAAACGCATATTTTTATTCACCACAAAGAAACTAGTACAAGATACATTACAAAAGGGACCTCCTCAACCTACACATCTCTTCTAATCCCTACAAACATAGTAATTAGACCTGGCAATCGGGTCAATCGGTTCAGTTCTGATTCGGATCTTTTCGGTTTAGGTCTTTTTTGGATATATGTTATATTCGGTTCGGGTAGATTCAGTTCAGTTCATTTTGGGTTAAATTCGGTTTAATTTTTTACCGGTTTTGGGTCAGTTTAGATTCAAGTTTATATTAGTTCGGGTTTATACCGCTTTGGGTTTATACCGATTCGTGTTTATACCAATTTCAGATGAGATCCCTTGGGGGTAAATATATACAAGTGTAGCCTCTCCTCCATATGTGTAAAGGGAGTAAATATATACAAGTGTCAACAATAATGAGCTAGTATATCCATTAATATGTGTTACGATGTCACTATAAATTATATAAACTCTCTATAAAAATAGACAACAATCTTAGTTTAAGTGATAAAATATGAAGTAAAAGATTTGTACATTAAATCAATTGTACCTATAATTCAAATATGATTTTCTTAAAAAGACTTCAACCAATGAGCTATTAGATTTGTCTGAGTTTGAGTTTAATTAGTTTTGAACTTGATCAATATTGGCTCTAATCAGTTTTTTGCTCTAATTAATTTTGAGTTTAATTGGTTTCGGGTCTAATCGGTTCTGGGTTTAATCAGTTCAGGTCTAACTCGTTTGGGTTCAATCAGATCTGGATCTAAATCGGTTCGGTTCAGATTATTTCGGGCATTCGGGTATAATTTGGTTCTTCCGTTTTTGGGTCATTTCGAATCGGGTTCTGGGTTATTTAATTTGGGTTATCGGGTCCGAGTCAGTTTTGCGAGGGAGAAATTTAATGGTATTAACTTTTTCTTTAACTTGGACTTGTTTGTTGTGTTTTTTCCAATCCCTTGCTCTCCAAAATATCGTAACATGAGATAGCCAACCCAGCAAAGACTTCCATTCCTTTCCTTCGCGGAGAAATCTTCATAATACACTGTCTATACTCATCATATCATCTCCCTGAATATTACTCTTCATCCAAGTAAAGATTTCCTTCAGTATCTCGTGGCCAAACTCACATTTGCAGAAAAGGTGGGTGGTATCCTCCCCACCCTTTTGACACAAGTAGTAATCCGTCTCCACTGCCATAAACTTCGCCATTCGACCCTTGGTTAGGATTCTATCTCGCATGATTAACCACTTTATAAATTGACATTTAGGTAATGTAAATCTGTTCCAAACCCAATCAATCCATAGTGGTTTATGGTCAATACCTAGCATCCATTCGTAACTCTTGTGTATAGTATAGCAATGAAGCATTGACATGCTAACAAATAGGGTTCTCACCTTTATCATTTGTTTCAAGTAATGGCAGTAGTTTGATTTGTGGATGTACCCCAAAAAGTTCCCATTCTTGTGGTATCTCGAGTGAATCCATTGAAACCAAAGAATATCTTTTTTATTATGGATATCTCAGTTCAATTTCATAATTGCAACTTTGTTCCATATAGCAATATTTCTTAGCCCTAACCCACCAAACCTCTTTGGCATACAAATATCATCCCAACTAACCAATGGTGTTTTTTATACTCTGCTATTGACCTCCATAAGAAATTTCTACATATAACTTATACTTTCTTCATTACTTTTGTAGGGAGCAAAAAGATCATAGTTCAGAATGTTAGAATTCTCATGATATTGTTGTATATTCATAGTAGGTAAATAAATTTTTGAAATTGTTATTGGAAAAACTGAAATAAGTTAGAAAAAAATTAGAAATTAAACTTTTTCGATACAGAAGATTAAGCTCTTAGAATGTTATAATATTTCTACAAAACTCGATGCAATTTTAATTATGAATTTTTAGAAAGATCTGTGTTATTATCTTTAATTCAACGGCAACATTTGTACTCCATAAATAATCTGAAGAAGACATATCGGCTTAATAAAAGTATAACATCATCCTATAGGGGTGCTTCTCCGTATTAGTGCTTATTAGCTTATTATTGATGAATAATTTTAAACTTATAAGCTGCTTACGAAGTATAGGCAAAATATTTTTTTGTGGAAGTAAAATGAATTAAATGAAGGATAAGTCATTTGATTATACATATAGAAGGTGAGGACATATTTGTAACTAATCTGGTCAGAACAGAGTAGAAAAAATGGATAAAAATAAGTAGTTAAGACATTCTTATTTTTTCTGTCTTTTAAGCAGTTCATAAGTCAACTTATAAGCACAGAAAATCATTTCATTAACTAACTTATAAGTTAAAAATAACCTATAAGTAGTTTGACCAACTTATAAGCACAAAGAAACATCCACAAGTTACTATTTTCTCTGTCCCAATTTAATTTGTGTGTTTCCATTTACGATGTTTGAGTAAAGTTATTTTACAATTTATCTTTCAGTTTTACTGGTTCAAGAGTTGGGTTGAGTTGGGACGTAAAACTAATCTAACTTATGGTTATGTGGTATATCATTTAGATTTTAGAATGTAAATAAACAAAAGCAAAGACAGAGAAATACATTACAATCACAGCTCATGTGCATTGCACAGAAATAGCGCGCGGTCTTTTTTTGACCCCCGTTCGAGAAATCTGTTCTCGTGCTGCTACTGTCTCCGGGACGAGATTAAATTTTTTGAATGAGAAGCTGAAAAGCCTGCATTTTAATGGTCTAGACCGACTAATGTGCTGCGTAACAACCCTCCATTTTTCCAGCGAGTCTCTCATTTCTGAAGATGAGATCAGAAATGGTGTTCACTAGTTTTAGACAGATACCTAAAAGAGAAAGAGTAATGATACGGGCGGGAAAAAGGTTTGGAACCGAGTTTGGTATTGGGTACACATTTACCATCACAATCCCTACGGACCGATAAATTCATACCCATTACCAAACTACTACCTCCGTCCCAAAAAAATATTACTCCGAAACTAGTTTGACGGTGTTTAAAAGAAATATTTAAAAACGAAAAGTGTGATTAGAATTTGTTTAGATGAGAGAAAAATCATATGAGCTACAAATTCATTAATTAAAAAGGAAAAATAGTGTAACCCCGTGTATCCTTTTCATTTTTTTTTCAAAATGGAAAAGAACTTGAGAACAAATATGAATGTCGCGTGACAATCAAATGTCAAATGTAGGAAACTAATGTTACCTCTACTTGCCGACAATGTAATCCAGAAGCCGCTTGTCAAGTTCAAAGTGCTTGCATAAAAGTTTCTGCAAATCAGAAGGTTTTAAAGGAATTGGACTAAACAAAATATATGAGCATTTGAAACAATTCAATCTAAGCATTAAATGTAAGCTCATGAACCAATGATGCAACTACTGAGTAGTAAAGACCACTTTTGTTCTATAAAAAAAGGTTGAACCCCTTCCCTAGCGTGGCAGGACAGTCAGTTATCTGGAAGTGGTAAATTGAGCTATAATCTTAGTCTGACAAATATGGAGTAGGATTGGCAAGGGCTTCATGCTATGTATGGTCCTTGTTCATAACCCAAGCATTACCACCTTTTGCACCCCTTCTTTACCATCTAAACTATGCCCGATGGCAGGTTTGTTCTGATGTTTTGGATGCCGTTTGTGGCTCATTTTGCATTTTGCAGCTTGCAATTCCAATTTGAAGCTGGATCAGTTACTTTTATTGTAGCGTCCCCCCTAATGATATCCCCAACTTGTAGAAATACACATTTTCTTTCTTCCCCAAATATTCCCATGGTTTTTTCTCAACAATTGCCTACCCTAACAGCAACACGTACAAACAGATCAAATGAAAGGCACCCGAGGTCAAATCAAATGTAAATGAAACAGTTGCAAGCGAATGGCTGGAATGGATAGTTTCAAGTTTCAACTATCACAAATGAGAGCGACAGATAAGAATGATATATAGGTTGCATATAAAGAGGAACCAATCTATTACTCATTACCTTAGATATGATCTTGTTATTCATTACCAACAGTAACATCTCATATGAAGTGATTTTTTAATATCAGAGTGTTTGATCTTGTAAGAATAACAATGAGGCTATCATAATACACAATAAGGACTTCTTGTAACAAAGTTTAGTGACCAAATCTCAGACCTCAAGAACCCCTTTTTACACCCTCTATTGCTGAAATAGATCGTGCATTAGTTATAGACAATGAGTCAATAGATTGATGAGTAGCTCTCCAAATAATCTCAGAATCACAGAAAGGAACTTCAAAGAAATCTTAAATCAAGATCAATACCATAACCTGATGAACATAACAGAACCATTGATTGCAAATCTATATTTCATTCTATAGGAAACTTTCCAGATTCCTATCTCCTATTACTAATTTAAATTATTGTGTTTACTCTATCTAGAGGGTGTAGCCTACTAACACCACCTGTGATTCCTACTTTGTTTCCTATTGTATGTCTTGGCTTGAATCTTCTTGTTTTACTTTCCACCCATAAAATGTTTTCCTAGATTTGGAACGCGGCCCAAGGTTTCATTTCTTAACCAGTGGTATTGCCTCCTGCCCAAGACACTGCCTGCTACCATGATTTACCTGATCTCTACATGCCTTGGTCAAGCAGTGGAAATGAGCAGGTGAGTAATTTTGCCTCTTGGAACATAGATTGTAGGAAAATATATTTCAAAAGACAACCATCCAGTGGCAACATATCAACAAAGCCATAACATTTCCATCAACATGAGGTTTTCCGTGAAGTTCAAGACACAATTATGTAATATATTTACCATTCATCCAAAAAACCATAGAGAAAACAAAGATACGGAATATTACCTTTGTAATGGAAGAGCTGAAAACTGTTCCCTGAAAATCTAACTCAGGAAAACGTGTGACCTCAGTTCCATTCTCAAATAGTATATACAGTGGAAGTTGGTTCAAACGTGCTGCATGAATTATTAACAAAGACCTACATATGGTTAACTTGTTGTATGTGCTGCATAAACTATAAACAATGATCTAAATATAATCCCCACTCCTTTGGGGTTTGGGGTCAAGATGTACAGTCTTACACTATGAAAAAGGGAGAGCTTGCTTTCATTAGAGCTTTAGATGCATTATTGCATTTACTATTCAAAACTTCAAAGATATGTACCAAGATGATAAAACACATGTTCGAACTTGTGGAGAGGTGACAGAATATTTTCCTATCATGATAGGTTCACCAACTATTGACACAAAACACATTCTTATTTGAAACGGTTATGGATGGGTTACCTATAAATGTTCACAATGGATGAATGGAGTTACACGCTGAATGTTTTTTTCAAACTGTGTTAGTGGATGAAAGTAAGGAAATGTTAATTGCTAAATTGTAATTATGGAGACATGAGTTTGGAACAGAAGGATATAAGATAAGCCAAAGTAAAACGAAATGTTTGAGGTGCAAAATAGACACAGAACTATCAGTAAATTACTAAATTATTGTTTCAAGAACTTGAGATTTATTATACAAAGAAATTGAGAATTTGACAAATATGTGACACATAAGCTTGGGGGTAGTGGCTCAAATGAAAAAGAGCAACATCAATACTAGGTGATTGAAATGTACCACTATGATTAAAGGGAAGGGAAAGTACTCCCTCCGTCCCATAAAGATAGGGACGGTTTGACTAAAGTGGTAAAATAAAGAGGGATAATTTTGTGTTGACTTTCCAAAAATACCTTTGATGTGATGGGTAAAAGTAGAATGTGATGTGTGGATTATTAGGAAAAAGGTATGATGTGATAGGTAGGGTATGAAAAGGCAAGGGGTAAAAGTGGTTTTGTAATAGAAAAGGGAAGGACTTTTGGGGACACGATTTTTTAGAAACGTGAAGGATTTTATGGGACGGAGGGAGTATTATACTTGCTATCCTGCTTTAGTGGTTACTACTTGTGGCGGAGATGTGTATGGTACGTGGATCAGGTGGATGGTTACTCTAAGACTAGAAAAGATAGGCAAATAAGAAAAGCCCAAAATAAGTTGCTCTGAACATGTTAACCGTCCAGAAGAAGGTACCTCGGTACAGAGAGTGAAAAATCGGTGTAGACCAAAACCGACTTGGATTTAAGGTGTAAATTGAGACACTAGAGCATAAGAGATTGATGAACATATGGTTAATGACAAAAAAGAATAGAAAATGGATTTCAGTGGTTGACCTCAATAGATTTTTATTATTTCATGTACCAACCCCAATAAATTGGGATTAAGGCTTGGTTATTGTTGTTATGTTAGTATGACAAGTATTAGAGCTCAGGATATATATACATATATACATACATATATATATGTATGTACATATTTATGTATGTATGTATGTATGTACGTACGTACATGTGTGTGTGAGAGAGAGAGAATGTAGAACAATTCTCTTCCTATTTAAATTGAAATCCCATCAAGCCCAAATAATACCAAAATGTGTTCTTAGTTTCTCACCCAACGAGATTTCAAACTTTTCTGCAGCATTTGGGAAGAGACCAAGATCAACCACCCCAAACGATAAATTTTTGTTTGAATATCTGATGAAGAAAACATATAAAAAAAACTAAGCAAATGAACAGCCAAGAGTTGAGCGGGATTCTATCTATTTCCTTCAATTAATATGGCCTTTGAGTTTGGGTGGGTGAGGGGGGGGATTAAATAAAATTATGGGACCACATATCAATACTGTTTCATTTAATTCCCCAAAACTATAAAGTATTAAATAACGGCAAGGTTCCCTTGACATTGACATTGGAAACCAATGTCATGGGATGACATCAAGCACCTATGGTGTGCGGCTAGTTAAATTGATGGTAATCCCCCTCCATTAGGAACCATCAATTAACGAATAAGGCACCATAGGTGCCCGATGTCATTCTATGACATTGGTTCCCAATGTCAAGGGAATTAAAGTCATTAAATAAATGAATACTAGAACTTTGTATCTTAACAGTCTATATGGCCTTTGAGTTTGGGTGTGCTTTTGTGTGTGTGGGGGGGGAGGAGGGGGGGATTAATAAAAGTTGTAGGACCGCAGATCATCACTGTTTCATTTAATCCTTAAACGTATACCGCATAAAAAAAGAATATTAGAACTCCGTATGTTGACAGTTGAGAGATTTAAAAACAAAAAGCTAATCAATAACAAAATCTAGATATTGCACATGTTCTAACACTTACGTAATTGAGAGTTCAGGGAAAAACGAACTGGTACATATACAAGTCGATGTAGACAATGCGCGAAATTCTACCTGGCAAGGTATAAGGTACTGAAAAATCAGCCAAAGGGTTATATATGATAGAGCGTGTGTTACTCGTTTTAAATGATCATGTAACTTGCGAGATGCATGCTATTTTATGTCAATTTGGATGATCCTACAATGATTTTTAATCGAGTGCAAAGAGGATATACTGTAGGGTGTCATCAACTCAGGAATGGCAAGACCTACTTGTTCTTACCTAATGTTTAGAAAAACAGAAGAGGACAATCGAAACACCAAAATAGAGTGATTATTCAACTAAACCAGAAAAACCATAAGAAAAGGAAGTATTCATTTGGATACAATAGATGGCCAGATGGGAATAGATGTTGCTCTAAAAAAGTTGTATGACTAGAACTTTCTGCACACATGATGTACAAATTTATTGTGGCAGAAATTAAAAGTTAAAACCACAAAAGGACTGCAAGAAGCACATAAATTCAACTAGTTGATAAAAATTATTTCTCCTGATCAACTTAAAGATGCATGTAGGGTGATGAATACTAAATTACTAATGCACAAGTATTCGACAAGATCTGAAATACTAATGCAAGGTTTACATTAGACACAACCTATTACATCTATTGAAAAAATAAGCACCAACATTCTCAAGACGGGGGTTTCTTGGAAACCTCTCTACTTTCAAGTAGGGGTAAGGTCTGCGTACACACACCCTTCGCAGACCCTACTTTACTTTTCTGGGATTCTACTTGGCAGTTGTTGTTGTAAGCGCCAACATGTAATACACGCACACCCTCTACCTCTCAATTGTTCTAAAAAATGGCATTTTTCCTCATTCAATAAAAAAATTCCATGATAAAGCCAAAGCTCTTGACACTAGTAATGAAAACTTGTTCCATTTTCTTTTTTTTATAAAAATGAATGGATTTTGAATAAATATAGAAATAGAGTGTGTGTGTGTGTGTGTGAAAGAGAGAGAGAGAGATGCTCTCTTGACACCCACTCTAAATGCTAAAATAAGGCACCATCACTCCTCACCATTGGATCTCACTTAAAACAGGACCAGATCTAATCATTCTTTTTTCCTTGTTAACCTATGACTCCCACAAAGCCAAAGACAAGTTTGAGATTTCTTCAACGCTGCGGACGAGCTCTCTCCCTTTCAGCAATTTTTTCAACAACGCGTGCAAAGCTTTCTGACGCAACCTTTTTGCTTCGGATAACCAGTTATGTTCAACTATAAATTTTAAGTTTTTGGAATTTTTATTTGTTAGCTTTGACTAATGCATGATATTTGTTGATTTTAGCTTCTTGACTACGATTCTTATTCTCTTTTGGTAGCTTCGAATTTAAATTCTTGATTTTTAAAAATCCATCAGATTTTATAGTTTTGATTTTAGATTTTATGTTGAAATTAGGCCTTATTTTTAGGTATCCATAAGATTTTTATAGATTCGTTTCATGTCTGGAACCTGGATTTTATGTCATTTGTCAATGATTATGCATCATCTCAGGTGGACTATTGTTGCCCTATAATGAAATTATAGTGAATTCTTTACAAACTGCACTGCATTTGATCAATGAGCCTTCTGTTTTAAAATTGAGTGAGTTGAACTTTCTAAATATAGTTGTTGCCTTTTGTGAATCATTTCTAACACCAACTAAGGTTGATCAGTGAAGATGAGTCTCGAAGAATTACACCCAAAGTTGGAATGACTTTCAATATTGTTGGAGCATTTGAGGAATGCTACAAAGCATGTAATTTATTCAATGGATTTCATACAAAAAGACGAATCAACAAAGATAATAAGTACCTAAGGTGGGTTTATCAAAAAGAAAATTTTAACACTAAAATCCAAACATGATGGTGTGACCGGAAAGAAAAGAATAAAAGTCGCTTCTGTGAGAGTAGGTTGCCAACACACCCTTAGTTTGAAGAAAAAAGTGAAATGTGGATTACATTGTCCTTCACGCCCAAACACAACCATGAGATGCCATGGCATCTCAATTGGAAATTTTTAAAGACCATGGCATCTCAATTGGAAAAGTGGTAGAGTTGGTTGGTAAAGACCATCTTAATAAGTGTAATTGGTCTCCTACAATCTCGTGTTAACAAACAAATTCTTCTACTGTTGTCTCTGCATTGATAGTCTCTCTAAAAAATTACTCCGTAGTTCATATTATGGGCTTAGTGACTTGCTTGCGTTGCATCAAAGTTATAAAAAACATATTACGGAGTACTATTTAATACTCTCTTTGTCTGTAATTTATCTTCCAAGTTGACTTGGGGCCAAATTTTAGGCAAGTTAACAAATTTCATTGACCTTCCTAAACCACCATCTTACCACTCTATTCATATTTTGCACATATTTTCTCCATCTGCCATGTGTTCCCCTGCATTTCCTATATTTTACTACTTGAATTTGAACACAATAAACTTAAAACTTATATAGCCATCTTGAAATTAAAAAAACTTTCTTCACAAAATAGATGAGATTAGGAATTGTTAAAGCAACACATAATAGATCTGGGGTTGAAATGGGATTGGGTGGAGACTCGAGAGTAAAATGGGGTGGGTGGAAAACTACTTACAAGGGTAAACGAGACATTGAACACAAAATAATTAGCCAAATAATAATTTCTGGACAGAGTCGGTAAATGGCATGAAATGGCGGAAATTATCCACTTACTTTTGTTTGAAAGACTATAAATGCTTAAAATGCGTACTTACGAAGAATCTACCGCATATACAAGTATCTGCATTATTGCTCATCAAAGTGAAATCTAGAAAATGCTTTGTGAATGACTACTTTAAACTTCCTTTTGAATTCTTTATTTTTTGTTGCAAGCCGGTAGAAGTTTCTCAAGTAAATTCTTAAGGGTATTCCAAATACCGAATATGTATCTAATAGTAGGAAAGACAGTCTTGATAGCCTTACACATGGTGATATATTGATTGATAATCATGGAAAGTAGCTTCAAGCTGCGTACAAAATAATCATTCATAGGTTTATTGTTGCTCATTGGAGAGTTCCAAGGGACTCCTCTTCACTAGTCACTTTACTTGGTGTTGAAAATGATTGACATAAGACAACTAGATTTGGGGAGTTAATACCAAAACATAAGCTCCACTGATCGAATACAATGTTGTTTGTAGAAAATTTGCAAACAACTCCATTACAAAGCCATAACAATCTAGGTGAGATGATGCACAACAATTGATCAATAATAAAAACAACTTAATAGACGTAAAACCCAGGTTCTAGAAAAGAATTTATACTATAAAAGAGATGGATTTCTAAAAATCGGGCTTAAATTAACATAAAATTAAGAAATTTCAAAATCAAATGGATTTCTAAAACTTAGGATTTCAAAATCAAAGCTAAATAAGAATCATAATTAATAATATGAATTGAAACTAAAATCAACAAATATCATGTATGAATCTAAACTACCAAATCAAAAACAGCAAAAACTACACAGATCTAAAGTCGAACCTACTTGGTTTCAAGAAGGATGAAAGTCGGGTCAGGAAGCTTCGCCCGCATCGTTGAAGAAATCATATATAGGTAGAGAGCTCCTCTATACCTTTGAAAAAATCTCACACTTGGATTCGACCTTCTAGGAGACGGAACCTAACTAGAAAAAAATGACTTGATATGGACCATAGATGTGCTTTAACTGAGATCCAAGGGTGAGGAGTGATGATGCCATATTATGATACTAAGAGTCATAGAGTGGGTATCAATATTCAAAAGGATTCCGTTTAAAATAGAAAATATGATTCATTATACCAACCAACCAAAATCTTGAAGTGTTTCCTTCAGTAAGCAAAGCCTCCAAGTGCAGCGGGGTTAATTGGATTGAATTGCCTAAATAAGTATATGTGATCAAAATAACAGGTGAGTCAATGTAATCATATTAGTAAATAAACTCAATACCATATCAAACAATAACCTCGGAAACATAAAAAACATATGATGTAACAACGAGATGCATAACCATACACAACTCCCATACCTAAACCTTCATACGGAGGCTGTTGTGTTAGAATATGTGTAACTGCAAGTTGAAAGAAAAAAACATTAATACCAACAAATTGCAGGAAAATACATAGGCAGTTAGGCACAACCTCGTATGGCTATGCTTATTTCAAAATTCAAACGGAAATTCTAACATAGAAGGACGTCAATAAGTTATTCATCTAAGATTGACATATCCCAGTTTTCCCATACTAACACATGCATGAATGCCCATTTACTGTAGACCTATAGTCGTACTCATTTGTCCCAAAAAGCAAATATATTCTTATAAACATCGAATATGCTAAAAGTAGTCATTTTGCTCGATTAAATGTACACGTACATAGAGCCAACTGAGCACCTATTTTTACCTAGTCAGTGAGTTTCTATATCATTAGATTCTAAAGGAATATATACGCAGCAACCTGTATTTTATCAGGTTTCTTATAGGGACTGTACACATGATACGTGATAGTGTTTCAAGAAACCATCAATAATTATATACTAGTATCAGTTTGTGGGTAATTTGCCACTACACAAACCCTATTTTCTGATTTATGCAAACTCAATCATGCATTAAATAATTAAATATCTTAGTACAAGTAAAGATTTAAAAAATGCCAGAGAGGCAACAACAAACTAAAACTGCCATTTTATGTCAAATCATTCACATTTATTTTAAAAGAACAAATCAATGTACTTGTAAAGAGTAACCAAAGAGGACCCACCTATGAATACCAATGCGTACCCGAATGCCAAATGATAATCCATTACTAAAGCGAGTGCTGTAAGAAAAATCTGGAAATGATAGGCCGATTGCTAAGTTAGTGTTTTGAAGTGAACCACATCAAACTAAGATGCAAGTGAAACATCATAATATCATATCACTAGATGAATGTACTGATAAAAGTTGGGGACAAATTTCTTGCAGCGGGAAAAAAAAATATAATACCTAGAGGATGGCAGAATCAGTGTTTTGTCAATTCTTTGCAAAAGAGAAAATCATCATCTATTCAATACTAAAGAGTTTTTATTTTTTATGTAAACTTAAAAAACGCAGATTGATCAGTTACTCGTCTTGTGAATAATATGTTCATTCCATCTGTGCTTTTATACATGGAGGAAACAGTTCTAAGTTCTTATTAGTGGAGTATCCTTTTGAATCTTACTTTAATAACTATGTACAGTCACTTACTGCTTAACGTAAAAGATAAGTGCATATAATCCATTGACATCCCTTGCCCCCCCCCCAAATCAATACTGACAGTCTGACACAATATGTCGACTTCTAACTTATATTAGCCATATGTTATTTGCTTGTGTTGACTGAACTGGTTGATAATAAAAAGTGTGAAGAACTTCCTTTTTAGGAAGTTGCTGAAACAAATGAAAATAACATTTCTACCCACATTTTGTTCAATTTATTAATGGAAGCATATTATATATTGATTTATTGAGCAATTCATAACCCATAAATTTCAGTCATAATTTCAAAAATCCCAATCACTTCAGTCAAATTTACACTTAACAAACAAGTTACATATTAAGAAAACCAAACCTAGTCAAAAGGCAAAACTGCTAACTGCAATGGAGTACAAATTTTGCGTCCCGCAAAACCACACACAATTTCCATGTATAATCAATGGCTCATTTATGCATCCAAGTGTGTAACTTTTTCCTTCCTCTATATGCCAACCACTCAACAAAACTCTAACATCAGTTTTTGAAATTCTAAGCTGATTACATTTCTTAAAGGCTTCAAACTATGGGTTATTAGATCCAAACCATGGAATCATCTAATTGTTATTCCATATAAAATATGACCATGACGAACGAAGCAGCAACTCAATCCAATGCCCTCAGACTAAAGGAATGATCAAATAAGCAAATCAGGGAAATACCTTTGCAAAAAACAGAGTATCTGAAATGACAGTCTGCCATGTTTCCGCCCTCACAGTCTGTTCAATGCAAACATTAGCATAATTTGGTAGAGATATAGCATTGAGAGGGAGAAAATGAAGAAATCAGTAAAAAAAATTGTATACCTTCACAACAGATATCACAGTAAAAGCAACAACTGCTTGAATTTCCTGTCAATTAGATAATCAAAAGTTCAATAGCCGGAAATTCATCCGAATCGTATTCAAAAAACGCAGCGCATCGAGAGATGAAGGGAGATTACGCGCTTGAGGAGGAGAGATGAGCGAGAGGGAAGGAGAAAACAGGCGGCGGAGCAGCGCAGAGGGATGTAGGAGAAGAATGCAATGAAGTGGAGAAGATAGTATGGATCTGAAGCCATTTCATTCATCCGTTTCGCCGTCGCCGTCGCCGTCGACATTTCCCCGGTTCGGCGGCGTTGGATCTGAGGACCGTTGGCCTATGGGTAATTAGGTAAGGTGTTACAATCGGTTCATCACCTGTTGGGCCTAATGAATGAAAGATGGGCCGAATAGATTTAGATTCGATTTTGGACAACATAGTTTAGGCCTTCAGTCCGGCTGGTCCAATATTGAAAAATATTATGTCCGAATCAAATGGATTGAAATAAAATACCATCGATAATTATTTTTTTTGAAATTATGAATATTTAAATATGTACTCTTTCAAAATTTCTATAATTAAATGAAATTATTTATGAATATTCATTTAGTATAAATAACTATCATACTTACTATATTCTGATAAAGATAACTAAAATATAAATATTTTCCAAGAAATTTATTTTTTATACAAATATGGTATTGTCTTTTTTTAGATGAATATAGATTATAAAAGTTAGATACTTTATAATGATAAAAATAGTATTTTCATTTATTTTATTGGTATAAAAATATGTCTTTTAGGTCTATATAGCCATATAGAGCCAAATTGTATAAATTTACACTTAAGATATTTTTCGAAACTTGAATTTATTTTCAAATCTGGATTTGATTAAAATTTCATGTTTGGAATCTTAAAAATCTAGAATTGAGGAAAATTCATTTACTCCGTAATTTATAATGCAAGACTCAATTAGAAACCCATATACCTCAGCTTGTCGTTTAAAATCCAAAAAAATTAAAATTAAAGTGCTAGCTAGAAATTAAATAAAATGCTAGTTTCTAAAATTTTTGAATTTCTAGCCTCCTATTTAAAACGTAAATTATTTCATGAGCATCATTTAGGTCTAGAAGACTATTATTAAATTACTCCATTAGATAAATAAAAAGTTTACTGCATGCATATAGTTGCTACAAATATTTTGGCTCGAGTAAAAACAAATTTTTGGATGAAAGGTTGGAGCAAAAAATATTCTTGCCTACAAGGCTCTATGGAGAGATTGAGAGTTAAAACTTCACTAGTAGCCAGGCCACTTTTTAAAAAATTAAATTTTGCATGCAAGCTAAGACTCGAGTAAAAATAAATTTTGTCCGCACGTGAGAGGCGTGTTAGAGGTAGAATTGTTTGTCATGCTCTCATTTGTTTTGCTTAGAGGAAGATGAGTAACCAAGAAAAAAGGTTCTGCAAATTAAAAGATGAGTTAGAAGAGAGATGAAAAGTTAGAAAAAGATTGAAGAGAACAATTTTGTTCCTCTCATCAATTGCCAATTCTGTAATGAGATGGTTGAGAAGAAGTTAGAGGTTGTTTGGCAACTTCTGAATGGGTAAGTGCTGACCCAGTAAGAAGTCTGAGGGGCTGTTTGGCAACTTCTGAATGGGTAAGTGCTGAACCAGTAAGAGGTCTGAATCATTAAGTGATGAACCAGTAAGAGGTCTGAACCATTAAGAGCTAGTATATTGCTTAACTATTCAGAGGCAAATGTCTGATCAATTCAGATAACAGCTCTTAACCATTCAGACTCTGTATAATACTTAACCATTCAGAGGCAAATCTCTTAACCATTCAGACATCTGAACCATTAAGAGGCTGAAACAAACAGTCTGAATCATTAAGTGCTGAATCATTCAGACATCTGAACCATTAAGAGGCTGAAACAAACAGCCCTTGAATCATTAACTGCTGAACCAGTAAGAGGTCTGAACCATTGAGAGCTAGTATATTGCTTAACTATTCAGAGGCAAATGTCTGATCAATTCAGATAACAGCTCTTAACCATTCACACTCTGTATAATACTTAACCATTCAGAGACAAATCTTTTAACCATTCAGACATCTGAACCATTAAGAGACTGAAACAAACAGTCTGAACCATTAAGTGCTGAATCATTCAGACATCTGAACCATTAAGAGGCTGAAACAAACAGCCCCTTAGAACTTCAAAAAAAAATAAGGGGCGTTGCATAGTTGACAAAGCAATGAATACAATACCAAGGGAATAACACATATCTGAGTTCAATTTCTCCAAACTACGTTAAGCACCAGGTCTCTTTAAGTACAAGATGCAAGCTTCATTATTCTTCATCACCAAATTGTGATTGGAAATTAATTGATCTCATCTCGTGTGATTGTCTGGCCGTTTTTGAGGGAATCTAATGAATGTTCATCCTTTAAAAAAAGCCCTCACTAAAAAGGATTAAGATACAGAGAAAGTACGAAAATAAAATCTCCATATTTTTATCCCTAAAATAAAAGTTTCCACTGTAGTTATGTAGCATTGTACATTGACATTTCACTATATTTTTTAATAATGTAAATAGTTGGAACTGTAACATTCTAACTTCTATTTTGAAAAATAAAATGTTGGTCCTATAAAATAGTCTAATAATCTAGTCTATTTTATAGGACCAACATAAAATATATGACATTTATTTTAATATATCTTCAATATTTTATTCATAATTTAGTAACAAAAATCAAGGTTTATTCCGTCAACCCCGTGAATCATGTCAATGGAGCCGAAATGGGGAGCCATCACGTGATAGGAATGCACGTGTTCTCACGTGACCTGATTAATTACTCCATTTACCGGAGTCAATTGCACAATTACGATCAATTAAAATTGGAGCACTGGAAATGGTTATGAAGCCCGAGGCTTCAAACTGGGGCTTCAAATACATTTTCTCTGTCACGTCAGTTTTAACTTACACCAAAATTTACTGGAAATGGTTTTGAAGCCCCGGAGCTTCAAATTGGGGCTTGAAACCTTCATTTTTTACATTTTTAAATATACATCTTCTAAATTTAAATTAATTTATTATTTTAATTAATCGCAATGAGACTAGTGCATTAAAAAAAATTACATTTATTTAAAAAAATCTTACATTCATAAAAAAAGCATTCATAAAAAAATTAGATTCATTAAAAAAAATATTACATGAAAAAAACAACAGTACAAAGAAATCACTAATTATTCGAACGACTAAAGATATGCTCGATCAAATCCGTCATTAGTGCATTGTGAAAAAACGCAGCAACGCCGCGTCAAACTAATGACGCTGATGAACTCACGCCCGTGTCATGCCGGGGGGGCGGTGTTTAACGCCCCTATCACGCCGGTGGGCGTGAGGGGTAGTACCACTGCTCTAAAGGAACAATGGCGTCCTCTTTGGTGTTAGTTTGGTGTTCGAGCTTAATTAAGTGTTTTGATTTCTTTAAAATTTAAAGTTTGAAAGATATTAATGTAAAGATTTAGGGCGTGTTTCTCTAAACATAGTGTAAAGGGATTAAAATTATTGTTCTAGAAATGAATTTTTTTTAACTTCTAGAAATAGAAATAAACTTTTTTTAACTTCTAGGAATGAACTTTGATGTGTAAACTTCAAGGTAAATAAGTACTCTTTACCAATGAGCTGAGTATGAGGATCTAACTAATAAGTATATGGCTAATTTTTTTTGCACAGTAATGTACAAGCCATATAGGAATCTAAGAGATGAAAGAGCCGTACATCCGTCATGCAACAAAAAATTATCACTCTTGTTCTAGCGATTATCTCCCAAAATTGCTTTCACCGACTTTATTTTAGTACCTGCGCCCCAAGGTGATCTTTGCTTCCAATCATTAATTTGTGGGGATATATATTAGGAATATAGCATTAATGATAGAAAATGGAATATTATTATTATTATTACTTACTTATTTTATTGTTAACATATATAACTATTTATTCTATTATAAATAAATAAGTTCATGCATTTTCTATATATACTGATGTAATATATATTTTTCAATAAAACTATGTATTATCAAATTATATCATAGACAAATATCTTCTGAGATTTTAAAGTGGGATTACATGCTAACGTGTCAGAAAAAAAGTATGAGATTTTTATAGGTATGTTTTGAGTTATTATCACAACGACTTTAACCTAAAACTTCGTAATTTAATGTGTAAAGCTATAGTCGAAAAGAAAATATTTACAAAATTCACAAATTTACCAAAAACGTATATTAATAAATTCGTATAATAATCTTAAATAATTAAAAAGCAAAACTAAAATATACAAATCACAAGCTCGTACATTCTGTGAGTAATTTGTTTGGGACTTTAGATTATAATTTAATTTTTCTCGACTTAAATAATGGTTCCGCCGGTTTCGCTGGAACATTTTCTTTTTTTTTTAACGAACGGGGAAAAGCAGAAGAATCCCGTTATGAACCGCCACGTGGCGGTTGACCACCGCAACTTGTGTCTCTTTGACACTCACATGCTCCACTGACAAGCGGCCCACCTCCCTCACGTGCACTTGGACCCCTATCCCAACTAAAATCGTTAAACAAAACAAAGGGAAATGCAATCCATACAACTTCGTATTATCCCCGCAGTACGGAGTGCTCCTTCCTTAGTAAAGAAATTGGGAAAAAGAATAAAATAAAAATAAAACATTCAAAATATTTCTGTTTTCATCTTTTAATTCTCGAAATATAATTTAAAATGCATTTACATTAGCAATCATGATCAAGTATATTATCAAAAAGTATAATAATATGCACATGTATAATGCTACATTACAATAATCTAAACTCCTATTTAAGAAATAAAAACATGGAACTCTTATTTTGATACTTTCTCTATATTTTACTCCTGTTTAGGTACTCTCTCCCTTTCCTAAAACATTCATATTTTGATTTGGGAAGATTTATTTTCGCAATTTAACCTTCTATAATTATATCATTATCATTGAAGGAAACAAAAGAGACAAATCATTTAAATGACTTATTATATTAATGCAAATTGAATGGATTATATTGCAACGACTTAATTTAGATATGTTAGTCATTTTTTTACAAAAATAGAAGTGTTTTAGAGAAAACAAAAAAAAAAGAGAAACTGTTTTAACAAACGGGAGGAGTGCTATTCATATATTTTCCTTGATTATTTGATGCATTAAAATATTTTTGTCACCATTTGTTTTATAGAACTTTTGATGTATATTTTTAAATATACAAGTTTTATTTTTATTTATATGCCAACATTTAAATAAAATAAATTCAAAAGAATTTCATACTTTGTTTTGCGTAAAGCGTAATTCATTTTAGAATAATAATTACAATGTAACACCTCAGAGTAAATGTGAAAAATAAATTCTTGATTGCTTTATAGACATGGATGACAATGCGGCGGTGGTAGTGTGATAATTATTAATTACAATGTGACAATGTGGCGAGTGTGACAATGTAACAATGGCAGTGTGAACTCTTATTTTAGTTTTAAAAGATTATGACTTCTATTTTAGTATTTTCACAGTTTTTTATTCTATCTAGGGAGTTC